TGTGTGTTTGTGCATAACTAAAACCAAGTAAAGTGATAGTGACGTGCAAAAATAGTGCATAAATGTCAATTACAGAGGAGGGGAGTCTGAATCACTTGAGGGAGGCATTAAGCTTTACAAATCATATTTACATAAAGTAATATTATACAATAAAATAAAATAAAAACATTAATGTGAGTACATATATTCAGTAGGGGGGAAAAAATCTCATGAAGATTTTTAATAAAAAAAAAAAAGTTTGATTTACATCGTTATTCTAAAGAAAGTGTCACTAAGCAACAGGCAACATACACCATTTGCAGATCTATCACAGCCACACAAGCCCCACAAACTCATATTTAGGGGGTCATATGAAGTAAACACTTAACCTAACAGCAACAATTTCAGTAGAATAGGTTGAATACAAAGAAAAAAAGTTCAGTTCTATGAATTAAAACAGCCTAACGTAGGGTTAAATAATAAACTTGCATAGACACTTTAGCAGAGTGAAATTAGGACAAAAAGCAAGAGATTTTGAAAGCATGTTATGTAGTGTAAAACTCTTATAGTCCTTATCAGCATCATAGCTGACTAGCTTGGTTGCTCGGTGTTTATGCTGTTTGTCAGAGCTACAGAGCTGAAACAGGATTTTCCATGGTTTAACAGCACATTAAGACAAGCATCTGAAATATAAATGAAAAAGAACGGTGTTAAATTATTTGTCATGGTAGCAGTTTAAAACATAAATATAGCATCAAAGAGAAATAAATGCAGGAGTGCTGAATATACATGTATAAATGCTAAAGTATATTAAGAGGATATGTTCCCTGCACGTGTGAACATAACATTTTTGGAAACCCATAGCATGTGTATAAAAGCCTGCAGTGGAGAGCTTCCTATCGGGAATGTTTACTGGTTAAACTGGTCACAAAACACAGCCCAGTAGAGTTTAGAAAACTGCATGTTTATAATAAAGATGACAGGATAGTAAATGTATATTTGTTATTAGGCTTAAATTGAAAACAATATCAGTATTTGCAAATTCAGGTCTACTAGCAGCAAGTAAACATTGAATGTAAATCCTAAGATGAATAGCAATGACAAAAAAACACCAAAATAAGATTGAATTTACAATATTTGCGCATATTCTTAAAAATGTGCAAGTGAGTAACTCAAAAATGAAAACTGTGCTATATATATATGCAATAATAGCAGACTGTGTATATAAGAATATGGAAAATTGTTCAATTTATGGATTTTATTTGGACTGTTAATGGTAATAGTGTTACATCTTTTATTCATCTAGGATGCAGCTTTAAAAAAAGCTTTACAGTTCTGCTACAGCTTCATGCATCGGGTGGAAAATAAAAAGAAAATGGTGATTTTATGTTTTTTTTTTTTGTGATACTGAGATCTTAGTTCTCTTTGCTGCAGTTCTCTAACTGTGAGCTCTGAGGTTTCGTTTTGCTTTCTTTCACCATTCCAAACCTAAAACCCCTGCAGAGCTCCTAAATATGATCCAACTCCAAAACATTAAAAAGCGTTTTGTTGCCGCTATCATATACCTTAACAATGTTGTTATAAAAGTCCTGGACACAGGGGTGCCATGTAAGATATAGTGCAACTAAAGGGTGGTTTGGAAAAGGCCCCTGAATAAAAAATAAATAAATCAAAATTAATACAATATAAATAAACATATATCCTACTAAAATCTCAGATTTTGCAACTAAACTGTTTGCATTTTTGTTTTTGTAACGTTAAATGTCCCTTCTTTGAAAAAAGAAAAAAACCCTGTTCAGACTGCAGATCATTAAGGGGACGTGGCTCTATGTTAAAGCACGTGCCGAACTGTGAATCTTGGGCGCCATCTGGTGGCGGACACTATACCTTGGGCCAGAGTTGTTTCAGGTACCTAATCATAATTATATAGCCTACATTATTTGATGGTATACATACAAGAATTGTCATATACAAATTTGATAGACAATCATACACATGAAACAGTGATTATTTTATATGGTTTTTGAATTGGGGTTAGATTTAGGATTCAGGTGTGAATTCAGTTTAAAAAAGTTTATTCATTTTAAAAAAGGTTCCCTTAGCTACCCGGATAAAAACTAGTCTGCAAAATCTATTCAGTCTAGTATAAGAGTGTTACATTAGTTATGTGTCAGTTACTTGTATGGTCTGAAAACTAATACATTAATTTGAAAGAGTAATTATAAATAGGAAAAAGATCAAAATGGTTGAAACAAAGGGAGGCATGCCCTATTTTTCTAGTGCAGTTAGATTATTTTGTCATGAGAGCCCTTTCTATGAATTAGTAGCCATGAAGTAGCTCTAAGCCTTCAACGGTCGGTGACCTTTTTGTATTGTATCGCATGTTCTGCAACACATTCTTGTCAGAAAAAAATCATATAAATATTCGATGCACAGTGCCCTAGAAAAATTTTAGCCATGCGTACGAGCGGTTTGATACAGGGTAGCGTGGCCGAGCGGTCTAAGGCGCTGGATTAAGGCTCCAGTCTCTTCGGGGGCGTGGGTTCGAATCCCACCGCTGCCATCACCTTTTGCATTGTGCCCCCTCTAGAGAGGACCACAATTTGTTACTATTTGAAATAGAAATATTTCAACAATACACACACTCATAAGCTTTGTGTATTATTTAAAAGAGCTAGTCTCCCTAGTTTTGACGCGCTGATAAGCCCACCCCCCCCACACGTGTCTTCTGTGCTGACTCAACATGGTACCCATAGCCCTACAGTCAACTTCAGCTGCATTAGTTGTGTTGCTGTGTGAGTGCCAAACATCCAGGCATTTGCTTTTTCACTGATGTGACATATAAGAGTGAACAGCGAAGCGTGTAGGTAAGTGTTACTGGATGCTTCCGTGACTGCTACTTTAGTTACAATGGGTCAAACCCCGGCCCGATGACTGACTTTGTGATTTTTGTTTAGCATGTGTCTGTAAGCACGCTAGGCTAAGCTAATGTGTGCTAGGCTAGCTGTTATCCCAGCAACAGTAGTACCATTAAAAGCACACAAGACAAAGTTGTGTTAAACTTGTAGGCATTTCTCTTACATTTTGTTTTAGCTTGTGTAATTTTTATTATAGAATGTTTTACGCTAATTTGAGGCGAAAAGATAATTCATGAGGGGGGTGTGCTAGCTTGCTAATGAGGCTAACGTATCTACACAGACTTCTTAAAAAACTATTTCCTTTCTTTGTTACATTTTTTGTTTAACATTATACGTTTCTTTTATGTCTCTCTTTTACTGAGGGTGGTGACTAAAATATGTGTTTAACCAGGGGTAAGAAGTTACGCGGTTTGATTGCTTTAGTATTTCATCATTTATCAGTTACCTGGGCAGTGTCAGTGAACGCATCATCTTGCAGCTTGCTAAATAACGTGCACATACATCCATCCTGCCATGACAGCAGATGATGTGTGTTTAACCATAATGGTCTGCTCTTGTTAGCCTGGTCTGGTTTAGCCTGGCTGGAGTTTCATTCATTGTAACTTTTTATGGTTATTTTCCCCCAGACTCTCAGGATTGTCTGCTGGTCCTTCTCTGGTGACATCTTTTGGCCCCTCACCCTGATCAGACCAGTATGGCTACTGGTGATGATGATGATCCCATCATAGAGGAGGTAATTCCAAGTGGAATGATCATTAGTTAATTTAATTAAATGTAAAGCTACCCTGTTAAGAATATAAATTATGTGCTAATTATCTATTAGAAAAGGACTACATGGGCTTAAATATATAATAAGCATTCATGGTTAAATGTTTATCCTGGAGCAATTGTCACATAGCAGCATGAGGTGAGGGAGGAGCAGTGAACGCTCTCACCGCGCGCTGCTTCACCGCGCAGTTTAGGTTTTGTTGGATTAATGAAATTATAGAAACACGATAAAGGAATCTTTCTATGGCCTAACCCGGAAATCCCACATCCTCCGTCACCATCGTTCCTTGGTGTGATTTATATTTTCAGGATTTGGGGAAAAAATCCATCAGAGCATCAGAGCGTTACCTGTGTCATCTGTGGACGGTTTTCCATCCTTGCACCAAAATTAGCAGCAGTATCAGAGTTTGGAGATGAATCCACTTCTTAAATCTATCTTTCCGCTCCTCTAATTTATCCAGAAGTTCTGCAATCGCACTTTTTCTCTCACTTCCAACTTGGTGGTCGGCTTTAGCCTTCCCTGGAAATCCCTTTCCAAATTTTTTGTTTTAGTTTTTAACAACCTCTCATTACAAAGCAAAAATGCAGGCAATCCTTCCCCATTGATAATGAAAGCAAATGATTCAGTCTATTCTTTGAATCTTCTTTTCTTTCCCCTTTGGCATCCATGGCCTGAGACACACCTGCAGCTTTGTTTGCCTGGCACCACGCTGGTTGCAAGTTATGACCACTGATCTCTATGGCTATGACGCAAATTATTGTTTAAATTTATTTATTATACAAATGTTTTCAGCATTGGAATACATAATTAATTTCTGTTTGAAATTAATATGCACACCATATTAAAACTAACAAAAAAATAGATTTTCCTAAATTGCGGCTAAAGAGCAGCGGGTTGCCGACTCCTGAACTATACCTTGTCGTTTTGCAGCCTCTACCACTTTATATTCAATGACTGCCTTCTGTTAAGATCCATCCATCTTTGCATTTAATGAGCAACCTTTTGAAGAAAGTCCTCCCCAGAGCACAATGCTGCCACTACCATGTATCACCATAGGATGTTATGTTCAGGGTGGTTTGCAGTGCTGGTTACACAACATGCATAGCAATAAACTTCTGAGGAATTTACTTGAAGGCAGCTGCCGGATCGCTCAGCGTACGTGAAAATGCTGAGACCAATGCAGGATCAGTGAAGAACAACATCAAGTCAGTAAAATTATTTCAAGGCATCAATTGAGAAATTAACATTAAATCCTGTGCTTTACAGGAAAAATGACAGGTGGGGTCACTTCATTTGGTATAGAACAGCTTTGTTTATGATTGCAGATGGATATAACTCCAGGTAACCTAAAGGGTGAAATTTAGAAGTACCGACCCATTTAAGCACTGATCCAGCTGCTCTTTCATTGATCCTTTTGGATGGTGATTAGTATTTAAGCTATGTGGACAATAACACCTTTTTCCATTTGTTCTAGATTGACGTTTACCTTTCCAAAAGCCTCGCAGACAAACTCTATCTTCTCCAGGTGAATTTTTGCTTGATTCTATGTTTTAGTAGTCATCTGGACTATCTTTGGTCAGATTGATGTTAATCATTCAAAATGTCTGGATCGGCTCTCTTCTCTTTATTTATCTCAGTACCCTGTGCGACCGAGCTCCATGACCTATGATGACGTCAACCATCTGTCAGCTAAGATCAAACCCAAACAACAGAGGGTAAACAGGCTCCTTTGAAACCATAAACATCCAGTTTATACGTTCAGTGTTTTTAGGCCTCTCTTGGTTTTAGTCTCATTTAAGCCTTCTGTAACCCGGCGGTGCTGTCTGGAAATTATAATTTATATCGTTATATCAGTCTTTCTCCTTTTCCATGTATCCTACCTTCTATTTATGTGTCTATTCATTATCCATCCATCTATTTTGTATCCCTCAGTTGCCATATATGACTGTTGTGTTCTTTATTCTCTGAGCTGTCCTTCCATCACTCTGTAACCTTAAACATTTTGGACGGTGCCATTTGTCTTTGATGTGAGCAGCTGCTGGCCTGAGACTCTATCCAGCTTGCTGACTCTTACATCAGCATGATCAATGCAAGCTCAGCACACTGGGAATATATTGACCAACAATAATCGGACTCCAAACAGTCCTCTGTATGATTAAGGCACACACTGCAAACCTTAACCCCATTGTTCTTTTAATCATGCTTTAAAAATGGAACAAAACCGCAAAAGAGTTGGAAATTATTGAGTCTGAGAAAGATTAGATCTATACAACAAAAAATGAGTTGGGACCATGTTAAGCTTTATTGATTCACCTACTGGTCAGGGGTGCGTTTAGGCCTGTAATCAAGCTTGCTTTTTACATTTCATTTCTTAACATTCTTGTCTGATTTAAAAAAAAAAACAAAAAAAAAACTACCTTATCTTTTTCTCAAACTTCTCAAGTTAAACTCGGTCTTCATTCTCTGATTGTTTTCTCTCCTTTTGCTGCTCTTCAATCAGCTGGAGCTGGAAATGGCAATCAACACAATGAGTCCCAACTACTGCCGTAGTAAAGGAGAACAAATCGCTCTGAATGTTGACGGGACGTCCCACGATGAGACAAACACCTACTCCACGTACGTCTGGGGCTAAACCTAAAGATTTATATTTGGTCACTAAAGCCTGTTAGTTTGCTGATCTGATTGTTCCTTTCCGGTTTTTTTTTTTTTTTTGCTCTACAGGAAGCTAATGGACAAACAGACATTCTCCTCCATTCAGGCCACCACCAACACCTCTAGATATGCGGCTGCTGTGTTTCGCAAAGGTCTGACCTGATTAGCTGGTTGAACAGCAGTCTTTAGGATTTACAAAAGCATAAAAACCCTCCTTAGCTTTTTCTACAATCCTCCTGTACTTTCACTGGCGCTTCATATGACAGAAGCTCAGAGTAATTCATATTTGAGACTTGGAAGGAAAGACAAGCAATACTTTCTGATTGATTTATTTTTAACTTATTTTAATCTATTTAAATTCTGCTAACACATCACCATCCTGCTGTTCAATGCATGGCAAGAACTGGCAGGAAATTTGCCAGAGGCTCCAAAAGACTCGAGGCTGTAGTGAAGGTTCACCGTCCAGCAGGAAAATGAACCTAAACATTCAGCCACGGCTGCAATACATTAGTTTAGATCAGGGCTTCCCAAACGTTTCAGTCTGTAACCCTCAAACTAAGGCTACGTTCACACTGCAGGCCTTGATGCTCAATTCCGATTTTTTTGTGAAATCAGATTTTTTTCGCATTGCCATTCACATTTCCAAATATATGCGATTGTAATGTGATCTCCTGTGTGAACTGCAGTCATACAATGCAAG